TAATATTGTAGACATTAAAAATCCTATCTTACAAAACACATCGCGATACTAGACTACCATTTAGATTTGAATGCGTTTTGTTTTAAGTTCATTTTATTATCTATAAAGTTAACTTTTCATTTTTAACCTATGACACATACCTGGGCATGTGTATTGTACTTTGCCGTTGTCCTATTTTCAGATGGGCACTTGGTTTAAAAAATTTAAATTTTTCTTTTCATAACATTTTCAATAAGTTGTTTTATTTAATGTGTAAATTTAAATTTAACGTTTACTGTGTAGTCGCAATCTTCATTCAAAGATTCTGTTATTTTTGAACTGACCTAATAATGTTTGTATTTACTAAACTTTTGTGATCAAATACCATGATCATGAATTATGAATCCTAATTATTATGATATTAAGATATGTAAAATGAATGATTTATTTGTCTTCCTCAACAGGCTGTCAAACTTTACAGATTTACTTATGTTAATGAAAATAGAAATGTCAATTTAAACTTTTATTTATTTGTTCACTTCCCTTATTAATACATATAGTATAGTACTGTATAACAAATTGAGTCCTATATTAGAAATATGTGATTCCAAGCGCTCTATTGTTCTGTTCTATAATTGATTCAATAATTATTTAATATTTTAATTTAACTTTATATATGTTTATATTTAATCTAAACATAAAGTTATTTTTAACACATTTGGAAATATGGTTCGTTTGCTTTATGTTATTTCATTGCCATTCCGTGAACAAGTTTAATTCACTTTGTTTTACTTTTATGTCACGTTGATAACTTGTGTATTTATCATTCATTGTATTTATAACATAGGGCTTCAATACTAGAGTTATTGTTTTCTTTAGTAAAATATCTTTAGTCACGAAAATATAGAAATAAAGGAAACGACAAATAAATAGCATCAGAATATATTAAATTATCTTATTTTAGCTCAATTTCTACTTTAAATGATTCAAAATTTTTTAATTAATAGTTTAGTTTAAAGTTCTCTTATTTTAAAAGATAAAAATTATTTCACTAAAATCTTTAGAGTTTCCAACATTTTATCTAAACACTAAAATCCAACATTTTACCAATGTACTTATTAAATGACACATTATTTAATATTCATTTATTAAAGTGTTTTATAAATTAGCTGAAATTACCAAATTTTGTTTCAATTTATAAATACTGTAACATAATACTACTTGTATTTATTAGATAAAGACTAATAATATTATTTATTTATGAATAGTGATGGACAGGGGATTTGATTACAGCCGATAAGTGTCTTGGTGAGCTTTCAACTAAAAATATTAAAGTGTAATATGGAGTAGAATCTGATATAAATGAAAGTGATTTACATAAACAAGACATGAATGTTAAATAGATTTTGATGAATTAATAAACATATTGTCATTATTGCTACACTTCTTTGTTTGGTTAGCATAACAATGGTTACAAAATACATATCTGAGCGAATATAGCCAAACGTGTAACAGAAAAAATGCTTTAATTTTAAAGTAAAGTCGTGCAGGTCTCGCAGCTTTCGATTATGAATATATAATGTCCACATTTTCATAACTATTTTCACTGATAAATACATTAGTTTATACATAAGGGTTATAAATTAATTTGTTTAAAATATGAACATTATATATGAGTAATCGAAAGCTGCGAGACAATGCACGACTTTACTTTAAAATTAAAGCATTTTTTCTGTTACACGTTTGGCTATATTCACTCAGATATATACTGTATGTGCTATCATTTCACTTTCATTCAACATACCGACGCTTTTAAATAAATATATAGTAACTGATTATATTATAAATACTAGTTTAGGACATTAATCGATGTGTTTGTTCAATAAATACTATATTATATTATATATCATTAATTAACTTATTAGTGCATAACATATTTTGAATCAAATTGTTATTAGTCAAAACGTTTGTAAACTAACATGATACTAAGGCCCCTATAGTAGATTTTGCCAATATACTGTAGATCTTTCAAAGTTAAATATTGTAAGTATCCTTATACTATAAGTTATAGTAAACATCTATTTTAAAAATTTCAATTTTCAAAAATACAATATCAATAGGAATTGTGCTTTAATAAATGATGTTTAGTACAGAATTTTTAATCGCATTTTATAGTTACAGTACTCAAATATTAAGTTACCGAATTTAATGTTTTAAACTTACTAAAATATTCATTGTTTTATTTTTTGCTCTAATGTCTACTTACTTACAAATTCTCGTTAACTTTAAATATTAAGCATGAGTAGTTTGATCTCTCTCTCTCTCTCTCTCTCTCTCTCTCTCCCTCGTTGTTGTGCAAATACAAATATCCTTGTACAGTGCTACTACAGTATAATGGATATGTATTGAATACTTGAGTTGTCTATTACTATCAAATATTGCATTAAACATTACATCTGTTGCTTTTAAACAAATTAATACCACAAATAAATGTAATGAATATTTACATAAAAAACATTGAATAAATCAATTATTTAATTACACATATTAAACTTTAAAATTAAAAAAATTACTATTGTAAAATTACTGTACAAAAATTCATGACACAACAATTTGATAATACATTCATAAAAGATTAATTTTAAAAATTCATTATTTTATGACCAAACTAAAAGTTTCACCTTATCACTTGTTATACTGTACTAACATTAAAATAGTTTTATAACTATATTAATTTAAAATTTATTATAAAAAGAGTTTATAAAACTACAAATAAAAGAAAATCCACTAAAAGTATATACAGCAATAATATCTGCAAAAATAATATTATGTAGACATTGGCTTAATCAAAGCTAAAGCTAACTTGCTGTACCACTAATCACCTGAGATTTAGTCTAATTTAAATAAAACGGTTTAATATTCCGGATATAAATCTATGGAGGGCATATGGTGTATAACTTACTTGGTTAAAGTTTGAATAGGTTTTCATTTCTTAAAATAACTTAAAACAATGCGTTTTTCACTGTAAAGTATTATACCGTAATATACTGATTCAGTACATTCAGTACTAATTCAATACATAAAATATTTTTATTGTGTATTAAAGTAAATAAATCTAAAATTTGATGTTTTTTATAACAAAATTTTGAATTTCATTTCTATTTTTTGATGAAATACAAATATTTATATAAATTTGTATGTAAAGTTATCATAATATGTATAATATATTATACAGTATTAACTGAAAAGTTATGAAATACAAGAACAATGCAAAGACATTGATTGTAAGTCAAAACAAACCTACAATTTATATGCATATTATTGTAATAAATTTATGTCGTCCTGTATTACTTGTTACTTAACATAATTTAAAATGTTATAAAATTAATTAAATAGATTGTTGTACGTAAATTTATAAATGAAAGTACTGATTTTGTTATATAAAAAGTCATTCAAAACACTATTAAAATATAGGAAATCTGATGTCAAGGTTAGGAAATCTTATATTCAAAACACATTAAAAACAATTTAAAATAAACATTTCATTTTCATGTAACATAAACGTAGTCTTGAATTTAATAAAACCTTCAAAACAAGTTTTTACATACAGTTTAATAAACTTGGATTTATTTATTAATAAATTTAATGTAGTTTTTGAGTTCGTGTCACTCATTAAGAGGTGCTTCAGGTTGATGTCAAATAAAATTATCTATTAGTTTGTAAAACAATTATAAATCAAATTCACATAAACAACTAATTTGAAGATCTCCGCAAATTATCCGCATATAAATTGATTGCTTTGCAAGAGTTTTTAATTAAATCTCATTTTTAAACCCTTGCTTCACACACATAATCTCACTTTTCTAAAAATAATTATTGTTAATAACCATTTAGTAGTTAGAAATTTAATAGTTTTAAAGCAAATTAACATTTAAAATTTTCTATATTTTCATATAAGAATTTGTTTATCATAAATGAACAAAAATAAGTAAAAATGAAATATTTGTAATTTTTAATATTATAATAATTTAAAATACGATGTAATATAACAGATTATTATTGTTATTTAATGTGATTAATTATAAAAAATATTACTATAATATACCCATATAACTTTGTGATTTAATATATATTTCTTTATTTTTAATAAAACAAATTTACTAATTTTTAATTAAAAATCATGGTTATATAACTGAATTACAGTGAGAATTTTCAAAAAAATATTTTTCATTTGATTATTTGATAAAAAGTTAAGAAGTAATAGCTAAAAATAAAAAAGAGAAAAATTTTGTATTTCATTGAGAAATTTTTTATACGAAGAAAATATTTGTTGATATAATAATACACAGTATATCAATTGTAAAGCAAATGATAAAATTTTATTCAGTGTTTTTTGTCATAACTTTAAGAAATAAGTTAATTGATTAGCACAGAGCGGATCTCCGGTGCAAAAGTCACGTATACTTTGAATAAATTTAAAGTGAGAAAATAGTTCGCAGTTTTGGGATAAAAAACAAAGACAAGAATCTGATAACGAAACCGACACTTTTATAAAGTGAAAACTTTGAGACATATTGAGTGAAACATACAGTTATATTGGATTCAAGAATGTGGAGTAATTGAGAAAAAAGTAGTAAAAACTCAAGGATTGTATACACAGTAGTCAAGGCTTGTGTCGTAGACTAACGAAGCGATTCACGGATATGTGTGTCGATTATGGGCCCAAACCGTGATTCATATGGAGTGTGACTCTAACTAACGGTAAGTTTTGGGTAGAGTGTGGAGAAGTGGTGTTTGACAATGCATTTTCATCGAACATATTGTTTTGACTCCTCCTTTGTATTTAGTGTACAAATAAAATAGAGATTACTTTAAAGTTTTTATGCCGAAGGGTAAGACTGACTGGTTCTACACAACACACTAACACATACACCAATACACTACTGTTTTCCACAAATTTATACTACTCTGTCAGTCAAGTTGCGGCAGAATTTTGTGCATTTAATTCTTACAAATTCATTGTTTCGTTCAAATCTGTGTGGACTATGAATTAAGTCAGTAGTGATAAGCAGTTTGCAAATGAGTCGTGAGTCCCATCTCTCACACAATGACTTAAATTAGTGTATAATGTGTGGCATTTGTCGCTACTTTTGGCACTTTTCCTTCACCTTATAATTCAGTCACTTCTCGTTCGTTGGCATTTGAGCGATGGTTACGAATATAGTGCCGGCGCTTCTCCCAGCCTTAGTCCCTTTGGCCACTCTATTATGGATCCGCGCCGCCGACCACTCCGTCACCATTTCCCGCAACAACTGGGACCAGGAGTACGACTATATCATTGGTAAGTTACCACCTTTTTATCATATATCTTGGTTAGTTTATTTTCATGATTTTTATCTTTAATTATATTTTTGTGCTTTCATTTATTATCTACTAATAAGATATCATTAACAGATTAGTTATAATTTAAATAAAATATAAAAATACCATATATGAGAATCAATGCTTATATTTTAATTTAAAAATGAAAGATTTGTATTAAACGAAGTAAAAGTTATTTAAGTGAAAATTAAGATTATTAATGGATATAAATGTTATAATTAAGGAAAGTACAGAAAAGTATTAAAACGGGTCATTAGATTTGCATAGAATAAGGTATACTTCCGTGCAGTGAAATTGAAGTGTTATTGAAATGTGAGATCCAGATTGTTTGACCCAAATTCCTAAAATAGGGGTTTTTTTTGAGTCCATGAGTGCCTTATTTTGAGATTTTATATCCATATCAAAGACTGAATAAAAGAATTGTTATCCTCTTTGATATCCTTTGTATATCCTTAGCGTTAGGCATGAAATACAGTTCACTATTGAGTTAAGGAAGAAAAGACACGAATAATGAAACTAAATGTTAAATCATTTTGTTTTATACACAAAACGAATCGCTATGAAATATTATATATTTGATATATTTAATATATTGAATATATATTGTCGCATTTCTTTTTATTTAACAGTTTAATTTGGGTCACAATAGGAGAGGTCTATAATTAATTCACTCATAAAATTTTGAATTAAAATTCTTAATAACAATTGAAAAATATGTTCAATTATTAAATTAGAAAATGAATGACAAGTTTAATACGGCGTCTAATAGTATGAGTGCTTCTGAATCCACAATAAGAATAGTTTAGGAAAAAAATGAGCAAAACATATGCCTTCCCAACAGATTCTCTATAATAATAATTATAGCACAGAGTTGTGGTAAAACATCTAAAAATAACAAACCCTGACCTTAAATTCCCGTAATTCTGTTGTATTTTTATGTCATTTATATTGTGTACTATTTTTTATAAACACATATTTATTATTTATGTTTATATGGCTAACACTTATTAATTAACAGTTGGCGGTGGGTCTGCCGGTGCTGTAATGGCTAACCGATTATCGGAGGATTCGTCATTAAAAGTGTTACTTTTAGAGGCCGGAGGTTCAGAAAATCTATTCAGTGATATACCCATAGCGGCGGCAACCCTTCAAATGACACCAATAGACTGGTCCTATCAAACTGAACCTCAAGAAGCCTCCTGTTTTGGACTCATTAACCGCGTAAGACTTATAACTCTTTTCTATTCAGTGATATACCCATAGCGGCGGCAACCCTTCAAATGACACCAATAGACTGGTCCTATCAAACTGAACCTCAAGAAGCCTCCTGTTTTGGACTCATTAACCGCGTAAGACTTATAACTCTTATAACTCATTCATATTTTAAGGTTTTATTCAATTTCAAGTATATTTCTACCAGTTATTTTCGATTTTTATATTACTGTACTTTCATACTTAAGCTTCTGTAAGCAATAAATATATACATCAAATGGTGTGAATCTCACACATGAGTCACTCACTTATTAGATAGTATTTACACAAATAATTAGTTAATTATATTTTTATCAAAAATTAATTTCATTTCAATCAATTGTAATACAGCGGAGTCGTTGGCCTAGGGGTCGAGTGCTCGGGGGGTCATCTGTGCTTAACTACATGTTGTATATAAGAGGCAATAGTCGTGATTATGATGGTTGGGCTCAGAACGGAGCCTATGGCTGGTCTTGGGATGAAGTTCTGCCGTATTTCATAAAATCAGAGGACAATCGCGACCCAAGTATTGCCTACAATGGTATGAAACGTTTGAAAGTTTGGCATATAATTAGAATATTAACGAAACCAAAAACTATTTTTGATAATTGTATTATAAATATATCGGTGGTATAACAAAAAGTAATATTGAAATAGAGATCATGTGAATGGGAACGTCTTATTAAAGAGCACTCGGAGTGCTGTGTAATGTAGGCGTTGATCACAAAAATGAAATCAGTTTCCATTGAATAAGGATTGGGAGAACCCATCACTCACTCATTGGATTTGTAGGAATCAGCTATTTTTGAATCACAATTTGTTGTCATTTCTCAATGAAATGCTTCTTTCGATACACATGTCAGTCGGTTAGCCCTCCTCGGCTCATCCCTCCCCACAGTTATGACTATTGTTTAATAGAGATCATTGTTTTGATCCAATTTCAAGTTTTCGTGTTAAGCCCAGTGTGTGCTCTACTCTCTATTTTTAGGACACTATAAAAGAGCTATTCATCAAAATAGTTGCCATCGAATCGATTTGAAGTCTAATAAGTGTGACAAACACTCAGCAATAACAACACAAATACCAAATTAT